AAAAACATACTAGGTACTATATACTAATAATACTAATGCTATAGCTAATCCGTCCCTCAGGAAACACTCCTTGAGGGAAAACATCAGAAAATCACCCTCCACATCTAATGGCTTTGAGTTGCATTGCTTACTTATTTCTTCTATACTTGTACTTTGAAAATTAATATCAATTGGATTTTATGAAACTGTTCCCCACAGAATATTTTCAGTTGTTTAAAAAAATAATAATCACACCCCCACTGACGGAGGCTTTCACTGTGGCGCCAAGCTGTTGTCCATTTTGGGTGGATTTTTCTTTTGTTTAGCCGGTAATTGCTGCAGGGCTGCTGTCCTGGGCCCCTCTCGGCCAGGGCGGGTGTGTCCCCTAAAGCAAATTGCCTCTAGTCCACGTCTGAACTCTTCTGTCCTCTCAAGTTTACCTCAAGCATCACAAAGAAGCCTCTCCATCAGTTGCTTTCCAACAGATCAGCGCAGATTTAATCCCAATCAGAGGATCTGAGAGCCAGCAAGATGGGGCTGTCAGGAGGCCCACTCTGGCTGGTCTGAAGCCTCTGACCGAGTCAACACAATCTGAAAGGGCTGGGGAGCTTGAAAGTAAAGCTGTAAATGATCCCATCTGTGATTCGTGGCTCTCAATTCCTCTGGGGGAGACCCAAGGAGGGGGGAACCAGAAGAGGAGTTCTCTTTGCTTTGAACAAAATCTCGTTACCCTTCTAGCATCTTCCTTGTTTGGGGTATTTTCCAAGTGAAAGTTCATGAAGGAGACACGAAAGCACGTTTTGCTAATATCCATCAAAGAGAGGGGCTCGGTTTCAAAGCACAGAAGAAATACAATAGTGCTGAAGCAAACTGCATGAAAAAGATCTTAATGGCCCCAAGGATCGAGAAGGAAACGGGGACTGGTGACTTGAAATTTTTTTTAAGCCTATCTTTATTTGGGACAAAATAAGTGAGTCCCAGGAAAATGAGTATCTCCTGGGCTTTCTCTTATTTACATAGGGCAGCCTGAACTAAACATTCTGGAATGTTTGTAAATGTTTGGGTTTCCTTTTCCATATTTTCTCCTGTTGGCACCAAACCTGAAGGGCTCAGAATTTCTCAAACACGGTTCTTACCCACAGTGATGACTATTATTAACATGTATTGATCTAGAGGATATACAGAAACAGGATTAAGTGCAGATCCGGAGCCCAGGGATTAGGTCTGGCTGGAGAGTAGAATGTAAACAGGGGATGTCTGAGCAGTGGGGAGCAGGGGGGGCTCATTAGAGGTCTGGGCTGGGGAACACGGTGGCTTTGTGTCTGTCCTTAAGCCAGGGAGTGGGTCTGCATGCTGGTGAGCATTAGCCAGGCTCCCTGGCTTGGCCATTGGTCCAAGGGCCAGAATGGCCCTTCCTAGGGCTCTCCAGGGGTGTTGGGCAGGTTCCAGGGAGACATGTCCTTCTGCAAGGAGCACCCAGGCCAGGGAGAGGATAGCTTTCTCTTCTGTCGAGCTTTTTGCTGAGGAAATCCCAGCTGGTCTCAGGCACCATCCTTTTGGAAGCAGGTCTCCTCCATTTCAGAAAGACCTGTCTCCCTTGGCTGCCTATGGAAGGAATGGCTGTTCTCTGTATGTCAATCCTTGTGCATTGTGAACCAGCCACCCCCCCATCCCCCCAAAATACCTTTTCAAAATAAGGCCTTGGGTGAACATAGATGAGGAGCTCTAACTCCCCAGGAGAAAATTCACCATAAGAAGTCAGGCTGCCATAAATTCATTTTTGAATAATTTCATTTTTGAATGAAATTTTGCCATACGCAGCCATAATATGCTAAATGAAATAGGTCAGAAAGAGAAAGACAAATACTGTATGATATCAGTTCTATGCAAAATGTAAGAAATACAACAAACTAGTGAATATAATAAAAAAGAAGCAGACTCACAGATACGAATAACAAACTAGTGGTTACCAGTGGGGAGAGAGAAGCAGGGAGGGCAAGATGGGTACAGGGCAGTAAGAGGTATAAACTATTACGTGTAAGATAAGCCACAAGGGTGTGTGGTACAACATGGGGAATATAGCCAATATTTTATAATAATGATAAATGGAGTATAACCTTTAAAACTGTGAATCACTGTGCTGAACTCCTGTCACTTATATAATATTGTACATCAACTATACCTCAGTTGAAAAATAAAAGGATTCCAGCTGCAGCCCTGTGCCGTAAGAATCACAGAACCTGGGGTCCCAGCGGTGAGACAGGGACTGTGTAGCAAGCCGTCTGATGGGTCGCCTCTCCCACTGCTGGAGATGAATCTAGTCCATCTGGGACTACCAGCTTCGTAGGTTTGCTTGGGGGTGTCTTCTAGATCAGGGCTTCTCGGCCTCGGCACTGTCGACGTCCTCATCGGTAGCCGGGATGCAGGGGAAGCAGAGCTCGCCCTGGCACTAAGCGTATCGGTGAGCGTCACAGGCTTTGGAATCAAAGGTATGGGTTCAAACCCAGCTTCAGTTGCTCAGTTTTCTAAGCTGTAAAATGGCGACAGTATCACCCATCTGAGAGAATACCAGTGAAGGGTGAATGTGGTGATATATATGTGTTTATATATACACATATATATGTGATTGCTTAGCACAGTGCCTGCACGCAGTTAAGTGCTAAGTAAATGGTGGGTTCCCGTTGCCTGTTGTGGGCTTCACAGAGAAGTGTGTGGACGGGAACATTAATATTTAGGAAGCACTCGCTCTGTGTTACACATCCTACGATTGTTTTCATGGGTGTAGGAAGAATAGACTCTCCCCTCACTGGGTATTGTACCAGCTGTTGACTTAAGGCGATGCGGATGCCTGGCATCAGAGCTGCGGAGGCACGAAATGAATGCATGTGTCCTTCTTCTAGATTGAATGCAAAAAGCCTGACATGTACTCTTATCCAATGACTTCTTCATTTGTTCTTAACTGATGGTAAGTTTTGCAGCGGCAATTATATGTAAAGTCTATAAAGAGAAAAGTCTTGTTTTCTTTTATGCCCAGGCTTTGGATCTTACCGAGTTGTATATTCAGAGTTGGTGCCCATCCCTCTACTCCCAACCACGAACATTTCTTCACCATCCCCATCACTCAGAATTCAGGCTCCCAAAGCCTGGGCAAGAAATCCTGAATTTTCCATTGAGCAACTCAGGTAAAGTGGGAATTGGTAGAAAAGGTAAGAGAGAAAACAGAGAAGAAGAGACAGGGATAGTACCATTCTCTGGTCAAGTCAACAACTGTTTGTTAGGTGCATGCTGCCTGACAGCCACTGTGCTTGGTGCTGAGGTTATAAAGACGATCAAAACTCAGCCCCTGACCTCACAAATGTCAGGGCTGCCACTTGTCCTAGGAGCTGGCTAAAATTTGCAAACATTCAACAGGTTGCAAACTTAAGATTTGGGCAGTTTTTGATGTATGTTATTCCTCAATAGAATTTTTTTTTAAATAGTAGCCAACCAAGAAACATAAACCAGATCATTCTTAAAGAAGGTGTGGTGCATACACACACACACACAAACACACACACAATGGAATACTACTGAGCCAATAAAAAAGAATAAAATAATGCCATTCGCAGCGACATGGATGGACCTGGAGATTGTCATACCAAGTGAAGTAAATCAGACAGAGAAAGAAAAATACCATATAGTATCACTTATATGTGGAATCTAAAAAAATGACACAAACGAACTTATTTATAAAACTGAAACAGACTCACAGATGTAGAAAACAAACTATAGTTACCAGGGAGAAAAGGAAGGGCGCATTGAGGGATAAATTGGGAGTTCAGGATTTGCAGTTACTAACTACTGTATATAAATTAGATAAACAGCAAGGTCCTCCTGTATAGCACAGGGAACTATATTCAATACTTTGTAATAGCCTATAATGAAAAAGAATATGAAAAGGAATTTAGATACATGTGGATGACTGAATCACTATGCTGTACACCAAAAGCAAACATTGTAAACCGACCATACTTCAATCGAAAAAAACACACCATCATTCTAAGTGCTGGGTGCAGATGTGCCCAGGGCATTGTGAGAGAACGAGAAGAAGGTAGGATGTGTTCTGTGTGAGGGAAGGCTTCCTGGAGGGGCAGGTTGGGTTCCTGACAGAGGTTCCAGGTGAGCGAAGCTGTGGAGGAGAGAAACCATGTGGTGTGGGCAGGACACTCTGAGGAGCCCCGGCTTGCAGGAGCATAAACTGTGAGGCAGGAGCCGATGAGCACTGAGGTTGGAGAGGGAGGCAGGGACTTTGTCTGGGAGGTGGGCTTGAACTTGTGGGTGATGGAGAGTCCTGGGCGGGTTCCTGTCAAAGGAGGAAGTGGTCTGATATGCGTTGTAGATGGTAGTGTGAAGGCTGGCTCATGACCAGGGGCAGGGAAGCCAGTTTTGAGGCCATTGCCATTTTCCAGATAAGAAATGGGTGAGAGTTTGAACTAAGAGACAAGCTTTTATACTTCATGCGGACGCAGACACAAGCACATAATACTTTCCAATTGAAGACTTTCATATGTTCTTTTACAGAAAAGCCCATTTGAGCTTGGTAGACACAAAGGTAGCATTGTTCAAGAGGAACTCATTTCTTGCTTATTTCTTTTTTTGGTAGCAGGAGATGTTGGGTGCGAGTTCAGTGCTCCTGTGTCAGCTCTAAGCAGCACGCATTTCAGGTCTTCTGCATTTTTGGTTTTGGAGACATTTGTGAGAAAGTAATTCTTCCATATCCTTTTGGGGGTTTACTTGCCTCTTGTCTCTTCTCCGAAATATTTTCTGTTATCTGCTTTACTGGCGAGACTCTCGTCTGGGGAGTGAACACCCTGTATTAGCTCATCTTTTCCATCTTTGGCTCCTCGCTTCTTTCCTCATCTCTTCTTGAAGAAGCGCCCAAGCAGCAAAATGGGGGAAGAGATTTTAGTTCCTCTCTGTAACTGCCCCCACCCCCCAACATTGACTAACATGTTTTCTCATGCCCTGCTCCTTTAAACTAGGAGACTGAAAGGTCTGCTCAGTCATTCCAGAACCATGGCTGTGAGAGCGACACTGCTGGTGCCCTGGACTCGGGTGGGGAGGATAAGCTTGGAGCTGCGGACTCAGGATCGTTCTGGACACTTGCATTCCAGCTGGAGGAGAGTCGGGAGGTGATAACCAGTACAGGTGATCGTCTAGCCAAACTCTTGGGCTTCAAAGGAATGTTGATTTCATTGTCTCCCAAAGGGGACGAGTAAATAACGAGATACTGTCTGAGGTATTGCCCCAGCCAGAGTGTTTCCTGCTGGAGGCTAGGATGCTGCCGAGCACTGGAAGACTTGTGTGAGCCACTCGTGAGGAGTGTGGCTCTGGGCAAGTGACTTCACCTCTGGAAGACCCACCTCCTCTTTATAGATCATGTAAAGGGGATAACAGAGCCTGTCGTTTTGCCCTTACAGGTTGTGTGACGTTGGTGGTGGAAGCATTTTGGACACTGAGAAATGCATTTTGGAAATAATGGCCTAGTAAGAGAATTTTCTCCCGAACATTAACCAAAGCCCCACTGAAGCAGTTTTGATTGTAATAAACAATCAATTTTTTAAATATTTGACCTGTCTTGGTGGGAGAAGTATGAAAATTCAACAGTATTTGAACTGTTGATTATTGGACTTCTTGGATTTTTTTTTTTTTTAACTTTGGCACACTGATCTATCTAAACCTGGTAGGGATAAGTCTCCCAACGTTGTCTCTTGGAGAGACTCCCAACTGGCAACTATGGAGAAATAAAGAGAAAGTATGCAAAATGCTCCTTCAGTTGGGTGGGAGTACCTAACGGTGTCTTGATTCTCCATTACGGAAAGACCTGTGACAGATGTTTGCTGGTTTCCTTTGGTCTCTCAGCCTACTTACCGCTCTCTTTTCCTTTGCAGGGCTTTACAGGCTCATTTTCATGCCCGACAAGGCAGAAACTCACTGGAAAGTGGAAACTGAGACTTAGCACTATGAGAAGGGAGGCACTGGCTCAGTCCCACCACCTGGGCTTGGATCTGGGCTGTCCCCTGCCCTCCCTGCAGGGGACTGGGTAGGTCTCTTTGCCTCTCTTGGCCTGAGCTTCTCCTATATGGATTGGTTAGGATCCTATGAAGGTCATTTCCAGCACAGGGGTTGTGCACTGTCCCAGTATATAGTCAATAATACTTTCTAAGGACTGGCCTGGAGCTGCTGAGGGACTGGGTTACTGGTCCTACAGGACAGGATTTCCTGCTCACTCATGGAAGTTATCAGGACTTGATGTTTCTGTGCCAAGTCCCTGGGGGTTTTTTTCCCCTCCTTGACGGAGGCACTGGGGATTGAACCCAGGACTCCGTGCACGCCAAGCACGTGCTCTGCCACTGAGCTGTACCCTGTACCCGTCAAGTCCCTGGTTTCTGCTCCTTACCATGGTGTGAGGATTGGACATGCCCCAGCATTGCTGGGTGGCCCCAGCTTCCCCAGGATGTAGGACCGTGCGGGGCGCAGACAGATGCTGTATTTTCCTTCAGCTCCTGTTCTGGGGAGGCAGCAAGGGAAGAAGTTGGAGAGGGGAGTGGTCACTCTGCACAGGGACCCGAGGCAAGGGTGGTGGGAAAAGGGTCCCTTGTCAAGTATCAGGCCACCGCTGAGACCTATGGGGTGAGCATTACTCAGAGGGTGGGTCCAGTTCCCATTTTAGAGCTGAAGTAAACTCTCCAGGCCCTGTTGTAGTTGGCTAATGGTGATCCCCAAACCACAGGCTCCAGAGATATGAGCCAGCGTTCCAGGAGAAGCCACCCACGGGAGAAGGGAGGACAGAGGGAGACAAGCTGGCGCAGGGCCTGCGTGTTTGGAGCTGATTGTTTCAAATGGAGGGTGATTGTACCCTCCACCCCAGGGTTCATTGGTCAGACCTCAGGCAAAGTCCAGTCCACATCCACGGATGCTTACATGACATGGAGCCGAGCTCGCCCTCCCCAAAGTCAACATCCAGAGAACCAAGGGAGTCAGGGGGTTCCTTACAAGTTCTTCATTCCATTTTTTGTTTTTTTTTCCCCCAAGCTCAGAAAAACCAGCTCACCACTTAGGAGGCTGGGTTTGGATGTCTCTCCAAACCCCTGGTCAGATTGCTATCTTTCAACAAAAACACAGGGTTAGCTGAATTTTCTTCCAAATTTCATTTCAGACAATTATCTTGGCATGTTATCTGTAATATTTCCTTTGGAGGGTTCTTCCACACTGAAAAAAAAGAATTCATCTTCTCCTGTGAATGAGCGTATTGAGAAATAAAGCCTCAAATCAGTCAAGATGTATGAAGACTTGCGTGGCTCCCGAGTGTGAGCTACACTGACCGTGGCGCTCATGGGGATGCAATAGCGAAGGAAGACCCTAGAAGAATGCAGGTCTGGACCCCCACTGGCAACCCACGAAATCTGAGAAGTCTTCCTTGAAAAGTCAGAGATTCAACCTCTTGCCTTAAGGTCAGGTCATACTTGAATCTTCAGACCCTTTCATCCTTCAGCACACAAACCAACACACACACACACACACGCATGCACACACACGCATGCACATGCACGCATGCACGCAGAAAATACACACTGAATGCAATATTGCAACCTGCTGCCCTCCCTTGGAACTCACAGCAATTAGGAGTTGAATTCCCCAGTTGGCTGAGCTGGACTTAGAATCCTAGCAAAAGGGACTCTTGAGAAGAAAAAAGGAATTCCACACTGGTGAGGTTAGGGCTGCGGTACTTAAAAGTGAGGTGGTTTCACAGAGACTGTTTTAGAAAGGGACAGGTCCTGATGCTCTCGGAGACAGGGGTATTGGGTGAAAGGCAGGGGAACTGGTCCAGGAGCCTTGAAGATTGGAGCTGGTGCTCTGGTGGGGCTGGGACTGGGTTTACCTTCTGAGCATCCCCATCTGCCCTCTTACTCCGACAGCCCAGGGCCCTAGGGTTGCTCTATTCTCCACTCATCTCTGAAAACCTTCCATCTCCGATGCAACTTCAAAGCCCCCTGGGAAAGCCAAGTTGCCAATTAAGCCTCTTTGAGGCAGGTTCTCATTCCTTCCCCCACTAATTGAAATGTTACTCCTTTTACTAGACCCCTAAACCACCCAAACAGAACGGTCTTCCTCATTTGCATTGTAACAACGTCCCTAATGTGCTTCCAAGAGCTTTCCGTGAAGGGAACCTTCTCTCCTCTCCTGGTATGAACGTTCAAAAGCAATTCGAGGCAAAGGCCTTCATTTCCATCCCTATACAGCTGCTCATTAGCTAAGGTGGAAGAAATTCCTTTTATTCTGGGTTCATTTCCCAGGATGATAATGTCTTGTTTGTCTCAGGCCACTGTTCCCAAACTAGGCCTTAATTGCTGATAGTAATTGAGTTAATACATATTTGCAGCCTGGTAAGGTGAAAGAAGGTCTCCTGCAGTTTTATTTGAGACATTTCATTAAACCTGCAATAAAGTCATTAACAAGTTGCTCAGTGTTAATGCTGTCTGGTCCTTTATCTTGTCTCTGGCCCTTGGGAAAGTTGGGTGAAGGCAGATGGCTTGGGTGTAGGATGAGTCTCAGGCTGGGTGGACTAGGGACTGGCAGACCTCACCTCCTCACCTCCAGGTTCTCTATTCAGAGAGGAGGGCCTCTCCTTGGGAAAGCAGAAAGCCTGGGGCAGCACTCCGCAGCTCTCCCAGGCAGCCAGCCAAGGAGCGCAGGCGGGGTGATGAAATCCCATCAAAGCCACAGGGCTGGGCCAGGCTCCTGAATTAGCTCCCACCAGTAACTCGAGCCCCAAATGGCCCACAGGCTGGGCACCGAGCCGAGGTGCCAGGCTGTGCGACAGCCTGGCCACTGGAGCCCGCCCAGAAAGAGGGACTGGAAACAGGGCAGGAGGAGGGATCAGGGGCCAAGGGCAGTGCCAGGGGAAGCCAGGGGTTTTCCAAACTTTACCCTGGGAGACCCGACGGCTGCCTGTGAGAAGCCAGTCTTGTCCCATTCCCTCTCTTTCCTTCCCATAAACAGGGGGAGCCACCTCACCATGGGGTTCCAGGCCTCTTCATTTCATCGGAGGGAAATTGGCTTACCAAAAATGCAACCGGCTTGAGTCAACTGTGAGTCTCACCGCCCCCGGAGTGCTGCTCCCTGGTGCCAGGCACTTCCTTCCTCTCCCCCTCGCCTTGCCTGGGCCTCTGGCTACTTTTCCTTCTGGTCCATCCCTGAGGGGTGGACCAGGCTGGCAGAAGCAGCTGGCATTCCCCGGAATCCACGTTGCTGAGTGTTTCCTGGATGCTCACCTACATTTCCCAGCTCCCCTTGCAGCAGACACGGCGGGGACTTGGAAGTCACAAGGGCTAGCTCTGTGCTCTTCGCCCTGTCTGGCTGCCTGGAGTGGAGATGAGCCTCGGGGCAACTTTTGAAGCCAGATGTTAAAAATGGTAGAGCCTCGGTCAGCTCAAATCTTAAATGATGGGTGGAGAGTAGCTGTCCCACCCACGCCATGTATGAACAGTATCTCTGGAGTGTAAACCGCTGTGCACTTTGGGGACTATTTGTTATAGCAGGGGATTTGCTACCCAGCCTGAGACATTCAGTACTAGGAACTGAGGGCGCTGTTGCCTTTGCCTAGACTGCTCATCCACTAGCGCCTCTCCCAAGCATCCCTGAAGACTCAGCTCAAATTCCAGCCCTTCTGTGTCTTCCCATGGGCAGAGGAAACACAAATGTAGCCTTATCTAGTCACTCATCTATGGGCTCCAACGGAAGTCACCTTTGCCTACCTCTGGGCAGCCTGAGCCAGGCAGGGATGTGGGACATGGCCAACCGACGGAGATTTAGAAACTCAGCTTGAAGGCCTCCAAACCAAAGGTAGCTCCTCTGAGACTCTGATTTTTTATAATTCTTCGTTTCTGAAATTAGGCTCAAGAGCCTTGATGAAGAGAGTAAGTACTTAGCTGATTTCTCGGGAGATTCAGCAAGTTGGAGATGAATGAGCCCTTAGAAATCGTCTGCCCCTACCCTTTCCCCTGCAGATGAAGAGCCAGAGGCTCCAGGTGGAAAGGCAGAAGCAGTGCCCGGGCCTCCTGACTCTCAGCCCGGTGCTCCTTAATTGTCCTATTTAAGCAAAGCAGATGACATGCTGTTGCCAAGTCTCCATTGCAGCCCCTGGGCCATGCTCAGAATTATTCATTCTTTTCAGTTCTCTCAGATGTGCCTGTCTTCAGCCCGGTCTTTTTCAGTGTCCTCAAATTCTGCTCCATGCTGCCTTCCTCCTCTCTGAGCATTTAACATCAAGGTTCTCCGTGCTGACTTCCAGTATGAGCGTGTAGGGAACTGTCGACATTTCCAAGGTTAATTGTTCAATATTCCTGGGTGGATACAGCCAGTTCAGGGAACGCAGACCTGGTCCTTTGCTCTTTAGCAGGGGATTGGGGCAGGCAGGAGATGCGGCATCACCAAGTCATTCTCTGCTTTTTGGTCTTGTCCTTCCCTTCAAGGGAGGAAGAGTCCTTGAGAAGGAATTCCAGCTCCGTTTTGCAGAGAAGGGAACTGAGGCTCAGAGAGGTCTGGAGACTAGCTCAAGGCTCTGTAAGATGTCAAGGCTTTCTTCTGGTTCCCCCTCCTGTGTTCTTCTCTCTGCAGAGTTTCCTATCAGAGTGAGAAGCTTCTCTTTTTTCCTTTCTAAGTCACAAAAGAAAGTGACATCAGGGTACAGTTTAGGGGGATATTTTAGAACTTAAAACTCAATGAATTTCTCTTATGATTTCCCAAAGCCCAGCCTTATTTTCCAGTGCTAATTTCTTAGAGTTTCAGGGGCCTATTGGTCAAAACTTGACTTCTGACCTAACTTAGGAGTCTATGTACGTTTCCACAATGCAGGCCCATCCTGTCAGCACTTTTTCTGATTGTTGGAGTTGGTTCAAAACCCACGTTTCTGCCCTCACATCCTTCCTTTCAGGAAGCTGCAGGGGAATCAGTGTCCTGGATGCTTGGCTCAGGAATGGCGCTTAAGGTCATATGGTCCAAACCTCTCATTGTATTTTGGGGTGGGGGGGCGGACCACAGGCCCATGGTGAGCCGGTGGAAAGGCTGGCCTGGTGTCCTGACTCTTCAGCACAAAGTGCTTTGTAGAGAACACGTGCTAGGAATCCAGATTGATTAATGTCCCCATAAAGCAAAGAAGACAAAGCATTTTCTTTAAATCCCATAGCCTGGAGGAAGAAGGAGGCAGTCTCCTTTGGGAAATATATTACATACCACTCTGTCTATGAAATTGCGTTTATGAAATTGTCATCTTTTGGGGATGTGATGACTCTTTTCCTCTGGGATGGTTCCCTGCAGCTTTGCGATTCATCTCTTCTGCTTTGTCTGCAGTTTTTTTTTTTTTTCTTCAGCTTAGTGAGTGTGTATGCGGGGAGAGGGGAGGCGGCGTTATGGGTGGGGTGACTGACCATCACACAGACCCTGGAGCAGGAGAAGGTTTGACAAGGTTAGAGTTGGGATGCCCAGCAACAGCCAGTCTATAGTAATTTATTAGATGTTTAGCATAATGAAGGAACATTGCTTAACATATGCATACTTGGTAATTCACTGGGTGCTTTTCCTGTTTGGTATCTTTTTAAATTGCTTTTAAAAAATCTTTGGAAGGCAGAGACTTGGAGAGGAAGAGATAACATGTTGGGGAATCTACAATACTCTAGGAAATGTGCTTCTGATTTTCACATATCTATGAGAAAACTCTTTCCGTCCATGAGACAAGGGACTGTATCGTCATTGTCATGGCCAGGACATCTGTGCTCAGAGCAGTGACTTGCCTGGGATCTCACAACTAGGAAGTGGTGGAGGCAGGATTTGAATTCAGATCTCTATGGGTCAAAGCCACATTTCTTCCCACAACATCAGTCTGCCTCCCTGAGTGCACTGAACTGGTAACAAAAAGGAGCAATCTCCCCCACCTTGTAGTTTGAGGAAAGCGAGTCTAAGTCTCAGAGAGGCCAGAAATACCATAGTCTCTAATCATAAAATTGGGACTAAAATTCCAAGCTTTGCCAAGTGGAATGGTATTATCCAAGGTACGGTCCCCACCTCAAGAGACCAGCCATTAGCTGGGGAGTCATGTTTGATCCTTGTGTTCCAACAGGGAATGGTTCAGAATGAGCCCATGGGGCAAGGCTAGGCTGCGTGGTGTGAAAGGTGAGGACTGACGGATCTGAGATGCTGGACCTATTGTCCTGTCTATTAGTCTATTAAAACTGTCTTTGCCATAGACCGTGGATCTTCTTATACTATTTTTTAGAACCTCTTGTGATCTGGAAATAAGAAAACCCAAATCAATTTTAGATAAATATTTTGCAGTAATTGCCTTTACTTAACATGGGCAGGGCTCTCTCCCCCTGGAGAATGAAGCTGGAGCCAATGTAATCGCTGATCAGATCTTCTCCTCACAATGGTCTGAGTGGGCGCCTCTCCCCTCAATGTTACCTCCCAAAGGAACAGGGGATAAACACCCTTGTAAGAGAGTTGGTCTCATTTTGCTGACGTGAATTCAATGGCTCACAGCTCCATTCTACTCATCCTGGCTCCGGCTTAAGTTTTAAAAACTAATTCTCTCTGCATTAATCTGAAAAGATCCTTCAAACAAAAGCTCAACATCTGAGTCTATTTACCGAGTGTGCAGCTGTGTCAATTGGGCCAAGACAAAGCGAGGCTTCCTGGTCAGCCCACAATGGGCTGCAGGTAGTCCTGCAAACAGAGAAACACAAGGCAGGGTCCTTTCAGGAGCCAGCAACCCTCCTTCCAATAGGGAAGAGCCCGAGCTGAGGGGTCAAGAGAGGAGTGCCGCCCCACCCCCACCCCACCGCCATCACACACACACACACACACACACACACACACAAAGTGCGGGCTGGAGGATGTGATCTGTAAGCCCATCAATTAGGGCTATTAAAAAGGTAATTAGCCCTCTTCCATGGAAACCAAGGACAGAGAAGTGAAAAGGGAAAATTCATTTCCACGTGGTCACATTTTAATGTGACAAGTACACTTTCGTAAGGACGCGAGATGCAATTGTGGAGACTATCACTTGGTTGGTTATGATGGGAAGGTGATCTCAAGTCAGTTTAAGAGCTAACTTAGAATAAAAATGATAACTATTTTTATTATCAAAAAAATTTTTTCTTGCTATCAAATCAAACACTAGATTCAAGTCAAGTGGCCAGATGTGGGAGGCCAGGGAGGAGCTGAGAGTCATTCCCTTTCTAGTTTCCTCTCCCGAAGAGAATTGTGGCAGGAGATGAAATCTGAAAATGTCCACGATGAACAATTTGTCTTGGATTCTGGCAAATGTGAAATTCGGAATTAGTTGTTTCTGTTCCCTCTCTTTTCAAACATGGGTGGGTATTTTCGTCATAAAGCCCAAGAGAGAAGAAAATGAAGACAGGAAAGACCTTTCTCATAATGAGACCTGAAGATACCCATTGAAATGGATCTAAAGAATACGGCACTCTGTTCAACACCGTCCCAGTTACCAATGGACCTAGTGCGTACACATATTTACACTGTCTCTGTGTGTTTGCTCGCTTTCAAGTAAAGGGTAATTTAATTTTGTTTTGTTTTTCTCCAGCGTCTAGTTCTCTTTCACTTCCCCTTCCCACTTTACTGAGGTAAGATGTACATGCAGTTAGAAGCACAGATGTTAAGTGTCCAACTGGGTGAATCACTTCTTGGTAATCCACACAACAACCAAGATATACAATGACTTCCATCATCTCAGGAGTTTCCTGCCCCATGTGGTCAATAACCACCACCCCCTACTCCCACTCAGGCAATCACTATTTTAATTTTTATTACTATTGATTAGTTTTGCCTGTTCTTGAATTCCATATGAATTAATTATATGGTAGCAATTCTTTGTGTGTGACATCTTTCACTCAAAATAGTATTTTTGAGATTCATCCGTGATGTTGATTGAGTGTATCAGTTCATTTTCTTTTATTTATAAGTAGTATTCCATTGTAGGACAACACCGCAATGTATGTATTCTTATGTTAATGGACATTTGGGTTGTTTCCAGTTTTTGTTATGAAATAAACATTCTTGTGTAAGATCATTTGTAGGCATATGTTTTTATTTCTCTTGGGCAATTACCTAGGGGTGGAATTGCTGAATCATAGGTTAGGTGTATTTTTAACTTTATAAGAAACTAAGAAACTGCTAGTTTTCTAAAGTGGTTGTACCATCTTATGCTTCCAAAAGCAATGTATGAAAGTTTCAATAGCCCCATTTCCTTACAAACACTCCGTGTTGTCAATCTTTTTAACATTAGCTGTTCCAATGGATATGAAGTGGCAATCTCATTGTGGTTTCAATTTGCATTTCTCTAATGACTAGTGAGTGATATCAAACACCTTTTCATGTGATTATTATCATCTGCATATCTTCTTTCATGAAGTTTCTGTTTAAGATTTTGCCCATTATTTATTGGCTTTTCATATTATTAATTTGTAGATATTCTTTATACATTCTGGATATAATCTCTTCTAACATACAGGTATAGAAAATGTTTTCTTTGTCTCTGACTTCCATTTTCATTTTTTGAATAGCATCTTTTGATGAGTAAAATTTTATTTTGATGGAATCCAATTTTTCAATATTTTTCTTTTGTGACTAGTGCTTTCTCTGTCCCATCTGAGAAATCTTTGCCTAACCTAAGACTGCAAAGACATTTCTCTATGCTTTCTTATAGCAGCTCTACAATTTTAGCTTTTGTGATTAACTCTACAATTCATCTCAAATTAATTTTGTGTGTATGGTGTGAGGTAAGGGTTGGGGCTCATTTTTCCCAAGTATTTATCCAGTAGTTCCAGCACTATTTGATGAAGACTTTCCTTTTTCCATTCAATTGCTCTGATGCTTTTATCACAGATCAATTGACTATATGTGTGGCTCTATTTCTGAACTCTCTGTTTTTTGTCTTTTTTAATGTCAATACTACATTGCCTTGATTGTTGTAGATTTTTAACACACCTAGAAATCAGAAATTGTGGGTTTTCTAATCTTTCTCTTCTTTTTAAAGATTATTTTGGTCACACTAGTCCTTTGCATTTTTATACACATTTTGGAATCAACTCGTCAATTTATACAAAAAAGTTGGTTGAGATTTTGACTGGGATTATGTTGAATCTGTAGATCAGATTGAGAAGTAGGAGAAAAGGCTTAATATTAAGCCTTTCATTTAATGAATGTGGTATATCTTTCTATTTATTTGTTTTCTTTTTTCAATAATATTGTATAACTTTTAATATGGAGGTCTTGCATATCTTTATTCCTTAGTTCATGAATTTCATTGCTACTATAAATGGTATTGTGAAAATTTTATCTTCTAATTGTTGTTAGTATGCAAAAATAGAATTGATATTTGTCTATTTGACCTCATAGCTTGCTATGTTGCTAAATTCCCTAGTTAGTTCTATGAGTGGCTTTACAGGTCCTTTAGGATTTCTGATATGTGTTATTCATGTCATCTACAAATAAAAATAGTTTAATTTCTTTCTTTCCAATCTTTCTTCCCACCTTACTGCACTGGCCAGAATCTCCAGTAGAGTGCTGAAGGGAAGTGGTGAGTATCGACATCCTTGCCTTGTTCCTGATTTTAGAGAGAAGGTGTTCCATAATCTACCATTAAGTGTAATGTTAACTATGGTTTTCTCATAACTGTCCTTTATCAGACGTTTTATTTCTAGTGTGCTGAGAGACTTTTAAAATCGTAAGTGACTATTGAACTTTGTCGAATGCCTTTTCATTTTTGAGATGATCATATGGTATTTTTCTATGATTCTTTTGATGTGGTGAATCATATTGATTGCTTTTTGGGTGTTAAATCAACCATGCATTCCTGGGCTAAATCTCACTTAGTCATAATGTGTTATCCTTTTTTTATATAATGCGGGATTTGATTTGCTAAGATCTGTCAAGCATTTCTGCATCTATATTTATGAAGGATATTGATCTGTAGTTTTTACTTTATGGTAATATTTTTGTCAGTATTATGATGGTGTGATGGTTAGTTTAATGTGTCAACTTGGCTAGACTATAGTACCCAGTTATTCAATCAAACACTAATCTAGGCATTGCTGTGAAGATATTTTGTGGATGTGGTTAACATCTGCAATCAGTTGACTTTAAGTAAAGGAGATTATCCTTGATAATATGGGTGGGCCTTATCCAATCAGTTGAAGGCCTTAAGAGTAAGCCAGTTTCCCAGAAAAGAAATTGTTTCAGGACTGCAGCATCAATTCCTGCCAGAGTTTCCAGCCTGCTGGCCTGCCCTACACACTTTGCACTTGCCATGCCCCACAACTGCATGAGCCAAGAGCCAATTCCTTAAAATAAATCTCTACCTATCAACACATAGAAAAATGAAATCTCAATCTTGTGAAGGTTTGTTTTAAGGACTTGGTAGAGTGGGTCTATTTCAGTTTTGTTTTGAGTATGGACCCTATTCTATGGCATGGTCCTTTCTCTGAAGGTGTAGAATTTCTGGAGTCTCGCATGAATGGTGAGGTGCTCACCAAGATATCTCTTCACTCTGCTTGGCTGGAACTCCAAAGTCTTTCAGCATCAAGGACCTCTGGAGTCTCCATTCAGATTTTATCCTCATCTAATGAGTTCTCTGATAGGTCTACTGGAGTTCTGTCCTGTGCACTTATGGCCCTGATCTCAGCCAAGAAGCCAGAGGGCATCCCCAGTATACACTTCTGACAGCATTCCTGCACAGCTACCTCTTTGCTGGTACCGTGCCCTACAAATTCCAGCTGCTTCAGCATCCCTGGTCTCTGCTTCCTCAACTGAGCACATTCACCTTACTCTTCTTGTGCCCCACCTCCCTGCACTATGATCTGGTAACTGTTCCCATGCAGAAAGCCAGGATGTACGTAGGGCTCACTTGATATGTTTCTTTTCTATCAAGGATTACAGTCCTGTTGTCTATTGCCCAATGCCTAAAACGGGCTACTTCATACATTTTGTCCTATTTAATCATTACCTATGGTAGGAAGGCATTCTCCAATACCTATTACTCCATCATGGCCAAAAATGGAATTTCATCTATATACACATTTGTCAAACCATCCTCCAAATCAAGAACCTACCTATGAATCTAAAAGAAGAAAATAAAAAGGACACTATGAACTCATCTACAAAACAGAAACAGACTTGCAGACATAGTAAGCAATCTTATGGTTACTGGGAAAAGGGGGTGGGAGGGGATAAATTTGGGAGTTTGAGATTTACAAGTGTTAGCCACTATATATAAAAATAGATTTAAAAAAAGTTTATTTTGTATAGTACAGGGGACTAGGTTCAATATTTCATAATAAACTTTAATGGAAAAAATATGAAAAGAAATATATGTATGTATATGCATGACTGGGACATTGTGCTGCACACCAGAGACTGACACATTGTAATTGACTGTACTTCAATAAAAAAATTTTTTTTAAATCTAAAACAAAAACAAAAACAAACCT